AAAATTGGACTCAGGATTGTTCAAAATGGAGACATTCTTTTGAAGAAAGTTTTTGTCCCTGATGAGGATAGACTACCTGGAGTGAACTCTTTTCAGGATACAAATAAGGTAACATTGTACATTGATTTTTTTTCTGTGATATGATCTGAAGCTGCACATGACTTCAACTATAAATGACTAATTTAATTCTCACTTCTTGTTACGAAAACCTGGAGGGCATCATAGTCTTGGATCCTGTGTCCTTGTAGTCTTGTACCTGTTTGGGATTGCACTATTGTCTTCTAGGTTATTAGCAAGATCAGCATGCCTGTGTTTTGCTCTTCCCCCCTAATTCAAGCTGTAACATTCTTGATATATTATCACGCCTTTACCAAAAGACAAGAATATTCTTCAAGTATCTTCATACCTGTAGTTTTCTCTTCTCCTTGTCTCAGTCTGCTGCAACCACCTATCAAATTATTGTTCACATTAAAAAGAAGCTATAATATGACAATTTCTGAGATATATTGTTGAATGACCAGACATTAAGATCAACTCCATTGTTATAATATTGCCCGTTGAATGAAATTTACTTCCTGTTCTCTAAATTTTGAAATAGGTGCTTAAAATTATTGTTCACATTAAAAAGAAGCTATAATATGACAATTTCTGAGATATATTGTTGAAGGGCCAGACATTAAGATCAACGCCATTGTTATAATATTGCCTGTTGAATGAAATTTACTTCCTGTTCTCTAAATTTTCAAATAGGTACTTGCTGTTTCACGCGTGATGGTTGCTTGGCAACCTATTGGCATTTCTATGGGCATATATGATATGTGTCATAGGTATGCACTTTATTACCATGCTCTCGTTCTTTAATAAAGCTCTCACTTGCAAAGCATTCTAAATTCTGAGCAATTCAAAGGTACCTAAAGGAGAGGAAACAGTTTGGAGCACCATTAGTAGCTTTCCAAATCAATCAACAGAAACTCGTTCAAATGCTTGGTAACATTCAAGCAATGATTCTTGTTGGTTGGCGCCTTTGCAAGTTGTATGAGAATGGAAAAATGACTCAAGGTCATGCCAGCTTGGGGAAGGTTATGTCATAACCCTTGCATTACATGTGTCTGTATCTTGTCATGTTCCTTGTTGGCATCGTTGCTTCTTAGAAAATAACAAGCATTCAATCTAGGCTTCTTCTTGTCATCAGTGGCTATGCTAACTACTAATTAACTATTGTCATCAATTTTCAGTCTTGGATCACCTTGAGGGCAAGAGAAACAGCTGCCCTGGGACGCGAATTACTTGGTGGCAATGGAATTCTGGCTGATTTTCTAGTGGCAAAGGTTCTTACGCTGAATCCTTTAATTAAGTTGTCTTTTTCTGAAGATCCAATCTAATCTAGATAAAATTGGGATTAATTCTAGTAGATATTTCCAAGCATGAAGTCTATTAAAGTAAGTTTGATGCTAACGATTAATGGAAAATGGAATGAAAAGAGTGATTGTGAGTTTTAAAATGACCCTTGCGACCTTTTTTTTCTTTCCCCCCAAAGAATAATCGAAAAAGTATCGAAACTGACTATTTCCCCTTCTCTAACGTAAATGTTTAGCAATGTAAATGGACATACACTATTTTGCATATATATATATACACACACACACAAACACACACACAAATTATTGCGAATATATTCAAATTGTTTTTTATTTTTCAAAATTTTACTGAACCTTCATAAAGCTATACAAATATGAGGATGTCCCGCCAAATGGGAAGGAAATGGGAAAGGAGTGTAGTCATGGGGATGAAGATCGGGGAAGGCTTCCACATCATTGCTTTGCCACATTGATGGCCCACTTTGCATTGGAAGAATATTTCTAGACAAAAGTTTGTTTTATGAAGAGTTAGATAATTAATTTGCAAATATTGAAATAATTTAGTGATTTATAAAAAGGTTGTGTTGGTTGCCTAAAATACTCTTGTAATCATTTGCATTGAACTAATTTGGAGAACAATGGATTGGGGTCTTGCATTTTGATATATTTAAAAAAAAAAAAATTCCTCCACTAACTCTTACATTTATTATTAGAGGAGGATCTTTTTCTTTGTCTCATTTTTTGTCTCTCACCCTCAAATATATATATATATATATATATATCTTGCATTGCAGGCATTCTGTGATTTAGAGCCCATTTATACGTACGAAGGCACATATGACATCAACACACTGGTTACTGGGAGGGAAGTTACTGGTTTAGCCAGCTTCAAGCCTGTTGCACAAAGAAGTCGACTGTAAAGATATAAATCAAAAAGTATACCCACGGACTCATTTTATCTACTCAATTCTCTGCTGTGGTGGGATGCTAATTCAGGAACAACCCTCAATCGGATTTAATAAATTATACGAGTGTTTGTTTAGATGATGACTCAATGAAATGAAAAATAATATGGTCCTCCCTTGTTTAGCATATTTCATGTCTGTGTTTGCTATGTTTTGTACAGAGTTTGAGTATTGATTAGTGGACGGTCTGTCAGATGTTGTTATAAATGGCTGTTATGACATTTGTTCTCTTGTTCAATGTTGGAAAAGAGGATTTCCATTTGTGAAATGATCACAATAGTCTCACAACACTTTCCAGGCCACTGATTTTAGGGGTGAGTATTCGGTTTTTCGGTTCGGTTATCGGTGATAACCGAACTAACCGAATAACCGAATAGAATAAATATTAAAAACCGAACCGAAACCGATTAACCAAACTAACCGAAACCGAATTAACCGAAAATTTCGGTTCAGTTAACCGATTAACCGAAATATATAAATATGAAAAATGATTTTAAATTAAAAATAATAATAAAACACAATTACAACTATTAATTAATAAATATTTCATGATTCAATGTGATTTATTATAATAATATTTGTTATAACCATATTTATTGAATATAAATATATTTAAAAAGTTCACATATACCCACATATATATTTATTATAATAATATTTATTAAATATAAATATATGATATATTTATTTCGGTTATTCGGTTATAACCGAAATTTTTTTTTCTACTAACCGAACCGAACACCGAAACCGAATTATTTAAAAAATAAAAACCGAATATATAACCGAAAACCGAAATAACCGAACCGAAAAACCGAAATTGAATTCGGTTCGGTTCGGTTTTCGGTTATGGTTCGGTTTTGCTCACCCCTAACTGATTTGATGCAGAGTCAATCCCCACATTTTTTTGTTGTATGTTTCCATTGAATATAGAGGCAAGAAGACGTAGGGGCTTTTCTGTTGAAGTGTTTGGTTTGCTTCCTATGTGATTATTCAAAGCACTTCTTTTCTAAATCTTGACATTTTGTCACTCATTTATTCCCAAAATATTCCTATTAATTGCAATAGGTTTATACTAAAAAATAATTCTAATAATTTACATAATTAAATATGATAGTTTATGAATATTGGCACAGATTTATGACAAATAATTAATTTAATTAATTTTTTAATATTTTAAAATTAGTTATCTAATTAGTATTTTGGTTTGGACTAAGAAACAAATGTAAAAAAAAAAAAAACAAAAAAGTTAAGACTTTTTTTTTTTTGGGTGGGGGGATTTTATTTTGCTAGCCGTGGATAAGTGGCTTTCCAGTTAGGTCATCTTCAGCTAAAAATAGAAGTTAGATAGCTTACACACAGACATCCCATAACCGTTAAAAGCCGATTCCTGTTGCTTTCCCATTCTAACTCTTCATTGTCTACAATCAATAACCAAATGAAGCATGCCAACCCAGGAATGTTTGGATAAACTCAAACTATAGTTTCGAGAATATCTTATGGAGAATAGCTTTTTGAAAGAATAGATTTTGTAAAAAATAGATTTTGTGAAAAAGTGATTCTGATAAAGAGAGAGTGTTTGGATAGTTATTATCAGAAGTGATTTTTTATATGTAGAATTACTAAAAAAGACATAAGTTTAAATAATAATTACATAAAAGATATATTTTATAATATATGTTTAATTAAAGTAATAGATTTGTTACTAATATATATTTTGCCAACATAATAAATAAGACATAAATAATGTAAATAATAAATAATAAATGTGTATATGTATTTATAAAATAATTAAACATATTTTGTGTAAAATGATTTATTTTGCCAATAAAATTTTTTTTTAAGTGTAAAGATTTTAAACATAAAAGCCCATAATTTTTTTTTCACAAAATTGAATAACTATACAAAAAAAAAAAGGGTTGTAAACACAAAGTATAGCGAAGGAGCGAAGGCTAAATAATTGAGAGAAGTGAAAGAAAGGAAGAATAATTGAGGCTGTTATGTCATATGGTGTGGGCCCACACCACCAACCATCAAACAATTTCAACCAGAAGCGACTGAGACCTGCTTAAGCCGAAATCATGGTTTTGGAAGCCAAAACTAATGGTTTCGCCCCAAACAATGACTTCTCATTTGAGGGCTGACTCCTTTCCCAAACCATGATTTGGAATGATAGACAAACAGCTCCTTACAATGTCAGATGTAACATAAATTAACAGCATTTACGTATATAATGGTATAAAAAGCCACACTGCTTATAAATGATGCAAGTTATCTAAGATTGTCTAAACACGAGTATGATGTTTAAATCAACAAATTATTAAGTCTGGTTGGGGTTAAATTTTAGAAGGAGATGAGAGGGAAAACATTATAATTATAAATGTCTTAATTGAAATAACAAATTTAAAAAAAATCACGGTTATATGAAAAATTAATGTATCCTTAGTGATAAAAATAAAAATGCACCAGGTAAGCCAATAGAAGAAACAAGATGTCGGTGAAGATACCCAAAACACTATGTCATATTACAATATGAGAATAAAATTCTAAATGCAGGGCACCCTGTAGTGTATATACAAAAGACTACATTACGACAACTTTAAAATCATCAATACAATACTAAATATTCCAATTATAAGATTTTGTTTACAGAGATAACGAGGCCAGAGGTAGTAGTAAATACATTCAGCCGTAGGTGGCCAAAAAATATATACATTCGACCGTAGAATACTATATATGCATAATGCCGATGAAGGTGGGAGACTCTGACTTCAAAACAGTGTCAAAAAAAGAAATTTAGTTTCAGAGCGAATCAAATCAACTGAAATGATTTGGTCAGAGTAAAAAAAAAAAAAATTTGCAGAAATGAAAAGCCATTGAGATTCCAGTGAAGTGGTAGTAAATCACATTTACCTGCCTACCCACCTGCACCACCCTGATGAGCGTCTTTTTCCAGGCCCCACGTTCTAATCCTGATGTGAAGCTCAGCCACAGCCACCAGCACATTCACAGCCTGATACGGCTTCAATATCTTCATCGCCTTCAACGCTGTGTTCATCCTTAATGTGTCTGCATTCACCACCAAATTCTCCAATGCAATCTTCAGCGTCTCTGGTACTTCACCGCCACCATCCTCTGTTCTATACGACTCGCTCAAACACGATCGCCCCTGGCTTCTCGCCGCCTCCACCAGCGGCGATGCTCCCACGCTTTCCTGAATCTTCGCGAACTCGTCGTTAAGCACTCGTTCTTCTGATTTCGTCTCCTGGTTGAGCTCACTCATTCTCTCCCTCTGTTCTTCGGACAGATCATCCAAAACCTGATTCGCGAGCTGAACCACCATCCCCGGCTTGAATCCCGCGATCCAGAGGAAGGATCGTTCCAGAGAGCTGAACCACGAGGGAGAGAAAGCGAGGAGGATGTCGCGGTTCGCGATTCTGGATTTCTCTTGGTAGTACTGCTCGTAGTGGGAAAGCACCCGAGAAATCAACTCTCTGCGATCATCGTCGTGCAGTTCATCGCGGGTCGCGCTGAGCAGAGAGCAGCTCGTCGAGCAATCCTTCTGCCGCACCATCCATTCTCGAAGAAAACGCCTCGAAGGAAGCAGCATTTGCATCAGTCATCTAGTCACAGCACCAACGACGAAGAAGAAGAAGATTTGCTTCAATGTGGGATCTGCTAGGGAGAAGAATGAATGCGGAAGTTGGGGAGGTTTGCTTAGAGGGAAAGTAATTCTTCTGGAGGCGTGCGTAATGGTGGAAGAAGAATCATTTGGGGGGAGGGAGAGAGAAGTGAGAGCGGGTTCGGTTAGAGAAAGAGGAGAGAGCCAATAGGGAAACCGGTGTGGGGGAAATGGATCGGTGAGATTTGTCGTGAAGTGAGGGAAGAGAGAGAGAGAATTTGGAAGGAGGAAGAAATGAGTGGTGAAGCTGAAAACAGGTGTGGGAAGGGGTTGGAGGCTTGAGGGGGGGATGAACTGGGATGGATTTTGAAGCTTTGGTTGTTCTTGTTCATTCTTGAAGGAGGATCCATTATGAAGAAGGTGTTGGTATTTGGGATTTGGGATTTGCATGCCTTTGATATTATTGCTCTATTGGATTCCTCCCATCTGACACCCTCCTGAGGTTTCAACAAATGATTACGGCGTAAAGGAGTGGCCCAATCTGTGGAACCAGTGGGGGAACTATCTGATTGCATGAGACAGAGAGTGAGGATGAAGGTGGTGCTGTTGCTTTGGAACAATTGACACGTGTATCATCTAAGCAAACCATTAAAAGGCTATGCACAAGTCCCCTTTAATTGAGTTGTAATATTAAGCTATTTTAAATAAAAAAAGATTATCTATAATATCTCTCCTCTCTTTTTACTCACTAGAAAAACAAATCGGAATGGTGGTGCGATGACAAATGATTACGGGGTAAAGGAGTGGCCCAATCTGTGGAACCAGTGGGGGAACTATCTGATTGCATGAGACAGAGAGTGAGGATGAAGGTGGTGCTGTTGCTTTGGAACAATTGACACGTGTTTATCATCTAAGCAAACCATTAAAAGGCTATGCACAAGTCCCCATTTACTCCACTCACTATCCCTTCTAATATTACCACATTAGGTTGTTTACTTCAAGTAAGAGTAAATTTGAGTTGAGATGGAGAATCTCACATCAAATAAAGTGAGACTTCATAATGAATATATAACAAAGTGAAAGGATCTATAAATTTGAATCTTGAAGTTTTGGGTTAGGATATTATATCCAACCCTAAGATATATGTAGTTTTGGAATGGCTATGCATAGCATTCTTCCTTTTTAAAGGCTCCCCAACCAACAACTACTATAATATACCTTCAACAAGCATTTGAGGATGCTTTAATGCATGTAGTTTGCTTCTTCTTTTCTTTTTCTTTTTTTTTAATACTTGTTTCATTTTTCCTTAATGCACAATATGCAGTTAATTGTGATTGAAAATTATTGTAGACATAGCCAATTAATCAACTAATCATTTGAACTGGAGATGAATGGAAGGGAAATGGCAGGTAAAAAGGTAAAGCAGGGTGTAACTATAAAGGGCCTCATTGGTTATCACTTATCTGTCCTCTCTGTCTCCCATGTGTCTTTCTCTGTCTGTCTGGACTTTTGGATATCATACAGTAAACTTGCAGTTATAACCATAAGAAATTCCAACTCTCACTTGCAAACACTGTCCCAAATGGGTTCATTGCATCGTATTTGCATGTAGTTGTGGCAGACGAACAACAACACTTTAAGCACAACACAAACAAACAAATTAACCATAAAAAAAACTCCCAAATGGTTGGTTGAGGAATCATCATGGTGACTATATCAACTGCCGTTAGCCACACCTTCACTTGTTTGATTCGGCCGTAAAATTAAAGATATATTGTCACTTAGCGTTTTAGTCTTTGACTCTTCGAGATCTATAACCTCACTTTCAAAGAAATCAAAATTGTTAATGCCAAATATCCAACGAAATATACTGCAAAACATAAAGATAGTACTACCTTTCGTCCTATTTATCAGACCTCGTTTATAAACTATAAACAAAGTCTTATAATTAGAACTAGAAGTAATATTTTAAGAAAATGTTTTGCAAAGAAGAATTAAAATTGTAAATAGATTAAGTAGGGATCATGAATTAAATAGAACAATATAGATTTAGTCACAGATGAAAATGGGCGATGTATCCATATAGAAAACCAAAGATAGCAACTTACTAAGAATAAGTCATATTTTCAGCGGCTGAAATGCAAGGCATTGTTGATATAAATTGCAAGCCAATCCCTGTTAATTCCTTAACATTCCTCGATCACTAACAAGTCAAAAACAGAGATCATACATATTTACCATGAAGAAGACGACCTTGTTCATTTTCTGCGTTCTGATCCCCACCATATTGCTTTCAAATATGAACCAGCAAGTTGAGGCTTCGGATGTAGGTGAAGATCTGTGCAAGAAAACTGGATATTATTTGATTGGATGTAAGAGAACTCAGTCGCCATTACTCCACGCTCAACCATTGCATCCCGGATGCTCTCCACCTTCAAGGTGTCGCCGAAGAAAGATTCACAATTAAATTGATTTTTTCTTTTTTGTAATTAATTTTAATTGGGATTTGAATTCAGATTCTTTTGAGGTCTTTTTGAAGATGATTGATCCGAGTAGTACAGGTCCAGATTTTTGTTTTGTTTTGTCATGATTACGAGTCAGACAAAATCAGTCCTCCTTGTGTATATTTTCAATTTCAGGTGCACTTAATCTGTAAATTAAAACTATGTGTCTACGTATTCATTTTAGCATTTCATTTGGCTTTGTTTTGTGTTTTTGTAAATGTACATGGGGTTTGCCTACTCTTTAAGGAGTGGCTGGACAATTTGTTCTGGAAATGAACGTAAATAATTGGTGATCTGATCGTACAACTATGACGTTAAGGGGGGGAAAAACAATTCCTTCCTATTTCATAAAGCTTTAGCATTATTTAATTCAATTTTAATTTATATGCTTTTTTTTTTTTCATTTTTCGAATCAATACTTCGAACTTCGAAGCATTGCTTTGTGGGGTTCAAGGGTATTGTACATGATGGAGATTCCAACTTCCCAGTAGCTATCATCCAAGCTCTCTACGGTGAACAAGCAAAAACAGGTTGGCCACAAACGAACAAGCAAAACACAGAGTGAACCCCAATATACTTTTTTTTTTTTGCCCACCTTTACCTACTTTGATGCACTGGTTTATTTGATATACTGCTGGATTCAGTTAAGTTCATAACTTGATAGATTCGGTCTAAACCCATATTGAGTTTTTGAGGTTTATTGAAAAATAAATAGAAGAGGCTCCAAAATAAAACATGTTTCTTTCTGTTTTGAAAAGAAGTGGGAATACTAATTGTGACAGTGACAGGTGGGAAATTTTGAGTTGGATCCTCTTTTAGGGGTATTTGACAACTTTGAAAAGTGCTTCTCAGAAGGACTTTTTCGTAAAACGATACAAACTCTTCTATATATTTACTTCGTAAACCGTAAAAATACTTTTAAAATTATAGTTTAGTTTTCATCCAAACACCCCCTTAATCTATATCTGCGGCAATGTGTAAGGAGTTCATTGTTTGAGGCCTGAGTATAATTCGCAGATAACTGACTACATGATTACTCTTTAGGTCTCCATGGGCATGATTGCCGTAAAAATCCCTTATCAACACGTTTTATGTCAGCTGAGATAAAATTTCTTTCACATACTTGTCTCGGAAAAAATTCCTTATAAATACGTTTTATATAAGCCGAAACAAAATTTCTCTCACATACTTGTCTCGTGTTTCATAAATCATGCTTATAAAGTGTTTCAAACATGCCCGTGTATATATATATATAACTCGTTAATCCTTCAGAAAACTGACTACGTGATTATTCTTTGAAGTCTCTACATAAAAGCTCTTTTATCTGCGTCATTGAGGCCATTTTCTGTGATTATTCTTTTAACTGCATTTTGATTGAAAACTCTATTTCCAATCCCTCAATCTTACCTATCCACTATAGGCCTTGTATTCGTACCTCAATTAAGAAACTAGAAGCTGAATTAGTCTTACCTTGATGAAATCACGGAGTTCCGTAGCAGGTTTCCTGTAAGCATTTAGGCTTTGCTGCTACGCTACGCGATCGCGATTTGCCAATGAACTGAAACTCATGGTTCTTATCGTAAACGGAATCCGACGACCTATTTCCGGCTTCGGCGGTGCAGCCACGGACTTCGTCGTCTCGACTCTCAGCGAATTTCTTGATGGCTAAATCTACCTACCATGCCCGAGGCGCGTAAATAATGAAGAAATTTGAAACAGGGATGTGGTTTGGGAAGTGAATAGAATGACAAAGTAGGGGCATTTTGGGAGAAGACGAAACTAAACGGGGAAAAGAATCTGACAAGTTGGCATGCAAGTCTGGAATGGGAATGTTGTGAATGAGAGAGATCTGCATATAAATTTGGTGCCTAATGGTTTGTTGGGAAGTTAATTCCATTGTCAACCCAATCTGCTCCTTGACCCTACAAATGGATTCAAGAGTTCTTTTAATATTTAAAATTCTAATTAACAAAACTATTTTCATAAATTGACTTACATCGGTTGAGTCTAGTGAAAGGAGTTAGACTTTACAACGTAATGAATTAAAGTTTAAATTTCTGCAGGAAAAGATATTCACATTTGGGGCCTATTTGAGAGGGTTCAAAAAATTTACTATAAACACGTTTTACGTAAGTCGAGACAAAATTTCTCTTATATATTTGCCTCGTATTCCGTAAAATATTATTGAAAAGATACTTATAAACTGTTCTAAACAGACCCTTAGTAACTGACAATACATTGAACAATATTATTTCTGATAGAAGGATACTCATGCTTATAAAAAAAATACATATATATATATATATATATCCATGAATTTGCTCAAAGTAGAAGTTAAATCTGCCACATCATTCCTTAATTTTTCCTATACAATTAAACAAAATCATGCACATGCCATTAACTATAACTTCGTTGTATGACGAGTAATGAGTAATAAAAAGATATCACAAATTACTCATCCAATCCTTAATATAAAACCTATTTAACTTATTTAATTAGATTAAGAAAGTTAGGTAAGTTAGTTAATTATAAAAAATATGACATGTTTTTCTTAAAACACCATAATCATCTTTCTTAATATCTTTCCTCCCTCACTTACTTAATTATGGTTGAGCGAGTACCCACAGGATAATTTAGAAAAAATTAATAAATATAAGAAATAGGTCTTATGTTTAGAATTAATGTTAACTTAACAACTATATCCTATATTAAGGATTGAAGGAGTAATATAATCTCCGACCCTTGATATAAAAGCTATATAGCTAATTTAATAATATTAAAAAAGTTAATTAAATTGGATATTTGTCACAAATGTATGTTTATCTCCCTAAACTATCATTTTCAATCATGTCTATTAGATAATTAAAATTATCTCTTAGTGGAAACTTCTTACAATTAATAGGGATATTTTGAAAAAAAGATGGAAGATAAAGTAAATTGATATTTTATATTTATGATCAAATCCAGTCTCAACTAACTTTTATATTAAAAGCATGTTGAAGTGGTATTATTTTAATAGATTTTACAATCTCAACTAGTATTCTACTTCACTCTAATTAAAATTGAGGGGTGAAGGTATCGATGGACAAAACTGGATTTGGTACACCAGATGCACTTACTCTTTAATCATTAAATAAGAGAGGTGGAAAATAAGAAATCATGGGTGTGATGTGCTAATTAAGATTATTATAAAAAAAAAAAGAAGAAGAAATGGGCATTCATAATGCACTTCCACCAAATCTAAATCTGAAGTGTGTTATAGACTCAATACACGAGAAAATTTAGATCTAGAATTTCAAACTATTATTTTTATTAATTTTTTTTATATTTTTCCTGAAGGCAAGAAAAGGATCGCAACTATCTCTTGGCAATCAGTTTGAAAGAAGGTGATTTAAGAATCAAAACGAAAAAGGAAACTCATCATACTATTACCCTTAATTTACTTATGATTGGACAGAAGTGAAAGCAAAGGAACTTAAAGAGGGAACTAATTTGTAACCCACAACTAGAAATAGCAAATTGATGTAATGGCATTAGGTTAAATCCATTATTCAAGCAACAGGACAAATAATCAATCAAGTACATTATTGTTGCAATCATCCTGGGAATTTGATATTGCTTGATGATTATTACTCCTTCAGTCTTTAATATATGACATAATTATTCAATTAATTTCGATCCTAAATATAAGATCTATTTATTATATTTATCAATTTTTTTAAATTACTCCTATGATATTCCCTTAACCATAATCAAGTAAGTGAAGGAGAGAGGATATTAAAAAAGATGATTATAGTATTTTAGAAAAAAAACATGTCATATTTTTTATAATTAACCAGCTTGCCTGACTTTCTTAATTTAATTAAATTAGTTAAATAGGTTTTATATCAATGACCGGAGGAGTAATATTTATGGCTGCGTTTTCATATTGTGTCAAACTTAGGATCTTTATTGGCAATAATTTGAGATCATACTTTGGTTGTTGCAAGTGATTCTAGGACATGGCCAACTTCTTTTTTTGGCCGTTTAGGACATGGCCAACTAAGATGAATTTTTGGTTATATGGTCAAATTATTTAACAACAATTAATTGTACCTATTTAGAGTTGTTATGTCCTTATCAAGATTTAAATATGTGTGACTAAGGTACCTTTCAGTGTTAAAAATTTCACACATGAATGCGTTAAGGTCAGTGCATATTGCCGCATTGCTACTTCTTCACTAGACATTCGCCTATCAATTTTTCCCATCTTAGTTAAGTTTTAATCTTGACTTAATTGAAAAGTAAATCATTGAGTGAAAATTCTTATCTAACGTTTTAGATCATAATACAATCTAAGCACATGATACACAGAGGAAATCAAATTTGACAATTATTTATAATCCATAACATTAGAATCAGCTGGAATTGAAATTGAAAATGTAAAATTATTTAAAATTTAAGTTTTCTCTATCAATTTTTTAATTTTAGAAAATATAGTAAAAGTAAAGCCTCAACTACAAGCTTAAAAAAAATTTAAATTTAAACTTTTAATCATAGTCACTTAATCTACTTTATATGATTTACATTAAAAACTTGCTTAATTATGATCTTTTGAAGGGATTCAAATCGAATTGATTGGATTCCCGGTAAGTATATGAATATCATGAAGTGTCCTTGGGTAGCAAGGCATTTGAATTGGTCAAATCTTGTTTGCATACAGACAACTTCTTAAACATTAATTTACCAAATGAAAAAAACAAAAATAACACTAAATTTCACCCCACGAGAAATTAAGCTCAAGTCACAAAATCAAATCCCCAGTTTATAGTTTTCGCACCCAAATAAATATATGTTGGAAGAAGACACCTACTACAGATAGATACCATTTTTCAAAGTTCACCAAACATATACAAAAAACTAAACCTACTGCAAGCAGATACCTTTTCTCAAAGTTCACCAAGAACACATGCCAAAGGCTAGAGAGAGAGAGAGAGAGAGATGACAGCATGGAAAAAACTACTCCCTCCGTTTCTTATTATAAGAGACAAATAACCAAATTACGTTGATCAAAAAAACAGTTAAAATTAGTTGAGGACAATTAATGTGTAAAAAATATAATGTTTTTCCAACAATGCCCCATTAATAAGGAGAGAGAGTATGAGAGAGAACAATTAAATTATTAAAAGAAAGAGAAGTGGGAGGGAGAGATAGTATGAGTTGGAGACAAAATAAATAGGGATAAAATAGGAAATCAATACAAAAAAATAGAGACAATTTTTAAGTGTCTCTTATATATGGGAACATGCCATAAGCATCAAATGTCTCTTATAATAAGGAACGGAGGGAGTACTATTTATGATCTTGACAAACAACTGTCCGTTTCTTGCTGTGAACAATAAACAGATCTGGTTTGCCATTATGCTTGAACTCACAAGAGACAGCAAGGGATGTCATGCCTTCAACTAATACACCTTCACAGCCAATGGGTAAGAAAAGCAACAAATCATCATGGTTAGAAAGTCAGATTCAATTTTTTTTTCAAAGAAGCCTAAAAAATTCTGCAAAATTATAAATTCATCAACGGAAGCGGAAAATGCAGCCTTAAATTACTTGGAAGAAACAAAAATTTAACTTGTGCAAATTTAGAAGAATACCTCGTTATATTCAATTGGGGTCTACTTGTTGTGGATGTAAGCCTTGTAACTTAATCCTTAACCTCCACTATGCTATAACCACTTTTTTATTCATAACCAAAGCATACTATGCTTTAACTTCACTTCTACTCAAAACCCCATATAACACTTCCTCTCTAAACTCCTCTTCAATGTCTTCATCATTCTGTTGTGCTGTGCACCTCTTCTTCTTCTTCTTCTCTGTCTCCGACACCTTTAGGCTTGTTTCATTCCCTCAAACCCCATGTTTCCTTCAGCCATAATGAAGCCTCCCAGAGTCAAGCTGCCTCTCCCCGTCATTATCACTTCAATTTGTGTTCTTTTCTTCTTTCTTGTTCTCTTTGCGGAGAGACTCAGCTTTCTCCCTTCCTCTTCATCCTCCTTCTTCAAGTTCAAATTCTGTCCTAGGAGGAATAACAAACTAAAATCCAGTAAGTTTGCTTCATGGAACTTTTCCTCCTCTCTTCCCCCCCCCCCCAACTGAGCTATTGGGTTCTGATGTGACAGTTTCTGATATTGTTGTTGATGAGCAGGTGATAAGAAAACAGAGGAAGAAGGAAGAATTGGCTCGCTGGTCGATGACAGGTTCGACTTTGATCCAGAGGAGTGCAATGTTGCCAATGGAAAATGGGTGTTTAACCGTTCCATAAAGCCTGTGTACACAGACAGAAGCTGTCCATATGTAGATAGACAGTTTTCTTGTGTAAAGAATGGAAGGGAAGACTCTGATTATCGCCACTGGGAGTGGCAGCCAGAAGATTGTACCTTGCCTAAGTAAGAATTTGCTTCACTTTTCGTGATAATTGGCCCTATGTTGTTTGAACTGATATGATTCACATTTATAATGACAATATATGGTAGGTTTGATCCATACCTGGCACTGAAGAAAATTAGAGGGAAGAGGCTGATGTTTATAGGGGACTCATTGCAGAGAAATCAGTGGGAATCTTTTGTGTGCTTGGTTGAGTGGGTCATACCTGAAAAGCGAAAGTCTATGAAAGGAGCGCGTATTCATTCAGTCTTCAAAGCCAAGGTACATAATTAAAAAGGATTTTTTGCTTGGTTTAGTATAAAGAACGCAGAGATTTGTGATTTTGAATCATGTCAGTTTTGAAATATACAACTTAATGATGGTATGAACGTGAAATGAAGCTACTCATCTGGAAAACCCAGAATGATATAATATTTTGTGATGTGTAGGATTATAATGCAACAATAGAGTTCTATTGGGCGCCATTCCTTGTGGAATCCAACACTGATATACATATAAAAACTAATCCAAAGGAGAGGATAATAAAAGTGGATGAAATCTCTGAACGTGCCAAGAACTGGACTGGAGTGGATATACTTGTTTTCAATACATACATATGGTGGATGACTGGTCTCAGGGTTCAAGCACTGTAAGTTCTCTCCCTGCTCAATACTTACTCATTCGGAAGCTGGCAGAACACAATTTAAGGCTACTGTGATCTCATATCAGACTAGAATTGTCATCTCTGGAATAATTTGGATCAGTATATGCATGGATATCACTTGTTTAGGAGAATGTGTTGTTGAGTTTTTGCTGTTTAATTATGACGAGTTTTGATGGAGAGTTTGTTACAGTGTGGTGAAAGTTGGGAATGGTGTAATTGCAGATGGGGTTCATTTTCAAATGGCGAAGAAGGGAGTGAAGAATTCGATACACCAGTTGCTTACAAGTTAGGTTTGAAGACATGGGCCAACTGGGTTGACTCAAATATCAATCCAAATAAAACCCGGGTTTTCTTTACAACCATATCTCCTACGCATACTAGGTAATCTCTCTAACTTGGATCTGCTAAAGTGTATGTTGCATTTGCCTCAAAGTAAAGAGAGAGATAAACATAAGTAGGCGGGCCATACTTCTGGTAATGAGATGTCATAAAAGTAAAGCCTACTTTTTTTATATCTATCTCCCTTCATAGTTTAGGTGAAGCGCACTATAGGAAATACATCATCTTTATGCTCTGTAATGTAATAATTTTTATTCAACAATTTTGATTTTGGAGACTTTAACCAAAACCATCGAGTAACAAACAATTAAAGCCATTTTCTTAATCATTGAATTGGATTTTGTTTGAAATGAAGAGAGTTAAATACGAAAGAGGAAGCCCTGTTTTTGGCAATGTAGATTTCATATATGTGAAGTTCACTATTTTGTGTCTAACTCTCTATGTTTTAGGTGAAGTACGCTTTAAGATCCAAATGAGTAAGTCTTCCCTTAAATAAGAAAATCTTTCTTCAACAACTTTGATTTGACTACTTTGGTCGAGTCTAAGTCCTCTCATCTATAATATTTACAATAGTTTGTTCTCGAATACTTCACACAATGTGTGTGCGTTTTGCTTTCTCTCTACTAAAAGTGCATGCCGATTGAGATAAAGAAAAAATAGACAGAAAAATGTTAGTCCCACTTTAAATAATAGGTATCACAGAAGTAAGACTTGCCTTTTTATATTTATCTTTTTTTTAATACTTTAAATGTAGCGCAGTTTAGGAAATTCAGTCTCTTTCGCACATTTTTTTTTAAGATAAAAATCTTTATTCAACTACTTTGATTTTGATGTTTTAACCAAAACCATGCTTTTACAAACAACCAAAGCAATTCTCTTTCAAACCGGTTGCAGTGCATTTTGCCTAAAGTGAAGGGAGAGATGAAAAGGGCCCCCTTGCCATTTTTCTCAATAAGGATCCCTCGTAAATGGAAATTATCTTTGTGCGTCTGTTTCTCTACATTTTATTTTTAGCTGAACTGCACTCTAGAGGATGATCCCCCTCAAATAACAAAATCTTTCTTCAACAGCTGTGATTTGGATACTTCAAATGTCCAAAACCATCCTCACTTACAAATAACCCTTATAGCAGTTTGTTTTCAAATACATAGAAGGTTGTTTTCAAATACATAGAGGGCTAGATAGAAGTGAACCAAACACAGGCAACAAAACCATGCAATAACAATACAAATGAGCCATTGTTTGATGGATGTTTCAGAAGCGCAGACTGGGGAAACAAAGATGGGGTGAAATGTTTCAATGAAACAAGGCCAGTGAGGAAGAAGAAGTACTGGGGAAGTGGTTCCAACAAGAAAATGATGAGCGTGGTGGCCAAAGTGGTGAAGAAGATGAAAGTTCCAGTAAATGTGATCAATATAACACAAATATCAGAGTATAGAATTGATGGTCACTCCTCAGTTTACACAGAAACTGGTGGCAAATTGCTTACTGATGAGCAAAAAAAAGACCCACGAAACGCAGATTGCATACATTGGTGTTTGCCTGGAGTTCCAGATACCTGGAATCAGATATTTTTGGCTATGTTATAGCAGAAAAACATGGGAAAAAGTGTTAATGTGATTTTTTTTGTTTTTTGTTTTCCTCTTGAGGCATGAAGATGTCAAATTTTATGAAGTTATATGTTCATATATTCATCTTTCTTGGGGCATTTCTTTGATATATAAATTTGCACATATGCTTCAGAAAATCTGCAAGCATTTTATGTACTTGAATACACACAACAAGATGCAACAAATTTTCTAATCTCAGATGGACTATTAGCCCTATTAATTGCTTCTAAAAAATCTCAAAAAAATACATATTGGATTTTGAAATTCTAAATGTTTACTATATTAAAACTTTAATAGTAATTGATTACAATTGAAAAAACAAATAACAATATATTTTTATAGCAATTCATAATTTATGATTTTGAAATTTAAAAAATATTTTTTGGGATTTTTCCTTGCCTCTAGGCTCTAGGGTTCTTTTTTTTTGGGGGGGGTATATATGTGGCCTGAAAGAGTGCATATGAACTACATAGTCTTTTGCCCTTTTTCCCCTCCGGTAGGGATAATTCATGGTATTTTAAGTAAATCAAGAAAAAATGCATCAACAATAATCATACTTTTCAGGATCACAAGTTAAATATTAAATCAAACTGAAATTATATATGCATTATAACATCATTTTTCAATGCTTTTAATAACTTAAAACAAAGAATACTATTAAAAATTATAAATTTAATATTAAATTTTAGATAGATGATGCTTTTTAAAAAAATTATGCAAATTTTTTTTCTCTGTTTTAAAGTATAACTAGAGATTTGCATGAGTATAGATTTCATTTTAAATGATTTCTGGTCGGGTGGTTTACGGGTCAAGCCGGCAGTCGGCTCCATAAACCCTACTCTCTCCTATCAAACGGCGATAAACCTCTTTGCTATCTCGAATTTGGTGGCCTTTACTTGCTGGTCGTCTGTTCTACTTCCATCTCCGTCGAGGTTACGGGATGGACGTTGACATGGGTGAAGAAGCTGAAGGAACGTCGAGGAAGATCCAGGTGCGGTTCGTTACTAAGTTAAAACCGCCTCTCAAGGTCTCAAGCAGTGTCATTTCCATCCCCGCCAACCTGACTAGATTTGGTCTCTCCTCCGTCATCAATAGTCTTCTTGAAGCCGCTGGTATCTCACTATCTGCATTCCTTGTCCACTCAAACTTCCAGTGCAATTATTAAATTGATGTTTTGGCCGTTTTACATTCTGTTTTTCTCAATGAAAAATTGTTGCCCTGGTCTAGTTTGAAGGAGACTTCGTTACTTTTAAGTTTGCGTCTTTCCCCTGCATATTTAAATTTTACCCTCTCGTGTTTCCGGGTAACTTTTGACGTAACTGTCAATTATGGGCAGGTGATCCTGATTATAAACCGGAACCTTTTGACATTTTGATCGATGGCGAGTTGGTTCGGATGTCACTCGAGGAGTTTTTGGTCGTCAAGGGAATTTCAGTGGTAAGTATCTCATTATCCTACATTTGCTGATTTTCTGTTTTGCCTTTGGTTAATGGAAGAGTTGTATAGAGGGATTTGTTGTTTAATAACTGAAGCTATGATTAGAACTAGTGGACTGTGGTCAACTGAAGTCTTTCAGATTCTCCAGTTAACTATTCTCTTCTTTTATATTTTCTTTTACTCCTTCTATAAAAGAAAAGAATTGCAGCACAATGAAATGGTCTTTGCTGAAAGATTCTTTACCTGACATTTTTGGTATCTATGATTCTATTGCCCATTATTTTGGAGTCATATCTAATGTTTGTAAATGATGAAATGCAGGAAAAGATATTGGAAATTGAATACACAAAAGTAGTGGCCCCACGTAAGGAGGAAGACCCTTCTTTACATGATGACTGGGTTAGCGCAATTGATGGTTCTTCTTCTCGGTAAGCTTGCAAACGTTAAACTAGGTGGCATGTAATATTGAATTGCATGCAGTCGTCATGATTAACTGTGTAACGGTCGACTTTGGGTTTCTGTTAACTATACAAATATCGGTTAATGGAGATTTGGCTGAGCTAGTCTAGTTGGATTAAGCTTCCACGGATAAGTTGGTTAGCCTCATTTAATTTGAAATTTACAATGTTGGCATGATCATATTCAGTTTTGTTAACATTGATAATTGACAAAGTATAGTAATTTCTTATATTATATATATATATATATATATATATATAATCATGTAGATTCATCATCTGATCATCATTAGACGACCAATTGTGTGAGGTTTCACTTATGATTTATGGGGATGATCATAGGACATGGCCTTATCCTTCTATTGGATGGTCCATTACATGTGTTGCTTTTGGTAGAATGCATGGCAGTACGTGTAGAGCCAGCTTTTTTGGGCAGTTGATATTGTGCATTGGATAAAATACCAAATTCCTTGGTCTAGTCTAGCAAGTATATCAATTTTGGATCAGGCTGTCTTTGCTAAGGAGTTTAACAGTTATGCTATTGTTGCTGCAGGTTCTTTTTGACGGGATGTTATGATGGTTTAGGGAGGTAACGATTTTCGATAATTTGTTTGTTATCTTACAACTAGTCATTTAATGGCTTTTTTGAGATTTTATGTTATATCTCTTACGTGTTTGCAGAATTTTTTTAATGTTATTATGCAAATTTTTTTCTAAGGGTATGGGAAGGTGCTGGATTATGTACACATATATTGGAGGGGCACACTGATGCAATCACTTCTGTTAGCATCATCAATCACAAAGGTAACAAAGACGAGTTATTTTTTTACTCTAACATGCATACTAATATCTCTTACCTCTGTTAGCATTGTTTCCCTTTTTTAAGTTGAAAGGTGCTAATATTCTAGTAATGAAAGAATTTTAATAGAAAGAAAGAATTACAAGGACGAGGATTAAAACTGCTTCCTAAGGAGGAGAAAACAAAGGAAGAGAAAGTGAAAAGGATAAAGCACTTGAAGTTAGCAAATATCAGTGTTGTTCAATCCCTAATTTGGTGCGAGTTGTCTGGTCCTGCTAAATGATTAATCCATAGCAACTGTTCAAATTTCTCGTTTTTAATCTACATCTGATTTGTAATTTTTAAATTGACAATGTAATCACATATATCTGAAGCTGTGGAATGAATGTTTCTATGTTGATAGTAGGGAAAGCTTGTTGCTTGTGGGGGTGTTTGTCTTTCTATTATTATTGTGAAGTCCTAATGTTCCATATCATAATTTCTAATATTATTTTTATATTGCTCCCATTTATCAATATATGTACCGTATTTAGGTGCAGGAACTTGTACCTTAGCAACTGCTTCAAATGATCGAACAGTAAGGCTATGGAAGGTTAGTAGAAAAAAGTTTAGAAATATGCAAATTTTTATGTTGAGTATTTATCTGACTATGTTATGTTTTTAACTTTGTTCAAAAGCTCAATCTAGATAAGGCCATTGAGCATCCTAGGAAGATTAGTGCCTTCAAAATCTTGAGTGGTCATAAAGATACTGTGAAGAGTGTTGCCGCACAAACTTCTGGAGAAATGGTTCTTCTCTATATTTCTTAATTTTCCTTCTTTCTCTTCGAATTTCAAGATAACTTTAAGATGTAAAGTTTAGATTTCTGATGTTAGTCTTGTTGCTTCTGTTTTCACGTATATTTAGATTTGTTCTGGTTCTTGGGATTCTACCATCAAGCTGTGGCAAACTGACTTTGACGCAGAAGGTGATGTGTCTATTAAGAAGAGGAAAGTGAAAGATCAAGTTGAGGAGTCACAGTTAGAGGTCAGTATGTCGCTGGTTAATAATAACTGTGGAAAGGAACTTATAGTTCCTGTTAGTTTTTTTAGATAGTAAAATATAGAAAGAAAAAGTACAATTCCTAGTGACTTTATATCACGGGGTTGATTTTGTACTCGAAACTTTCATGCTTTTTTTTTTGGGGGGGGGGGGAGTTAGGGCTTGGTGGGGCGGATGTTTGTAAAGCTATTATCAAAAGAATTAAATGACTTCACTTTCTTTAATGCTAAAATTTTATTTTTTTGACATTATACTTGTGAGATATGTGAACTCAAGAAATCTTGTAGAGTATATAACTGTATTTCCTTCTCTTGAATATTGTTTCTCATTTATTGTATAATTTTGAACTTTTATTTGTCACTTGATCAATTTGTTGCTCGTAATACTCTTGCATTTTAGGGGGAGTCTGTATCTACCCTTGTAGGCCACACACAGCATGTTTCTTCTGTGGTTTGGCCACAGCGAGACATAATCTATTCTGCATCCTGGGATCATTCCGCCAGGGAAATGGGACGTTGAGACTGGGAAAGACTCGTTCAATATAGTAAGCATGCCAACTTGTGACGTTTGACGCTTGTCTTTATACCAAACTTCATGATTTTCTTGCTGAATTATCTTCCAAGCTCATTCCATTTATTTAATTGTCTTCCTTTTTTCTTGGCTGTGGAACCATTCCAGGCACGCTAATAATTTCTTCTCTGTACTTCCTATCTTGACAATGTCTCAAAACAACATGATATTAATATTCGATTTATAATTTTTTAAATCACTACATGTCCTCCAACTGTAGTTCTGCGGCAAGGCTCTCAATTGTCTTGATGTTGGTGGAGAAGGATCTGCTATGATAGCTGCTGGTGGTTCTGATCCTGTTCTTAGGATTTGGGATCCTCGTAAGCCAGGTCTATTAAATGAGTCCAATCTTTGTTTAACTTAATCATCAAGTGAATGTGTTAATACCTCAATTGACAATTTTTCTTCTTCCGTAGGCACTTCTGCTCCAGTTTTTCAGTTTGCTTCTCATACTTCTTGGATTTCAGCCTGCAAATGGCATGATAGTTCTTGGTTTCATTTACTTTCTGCATCTTATGATGGAAAAGTTATGTTATGGGATTTGAGAACCGCGGTAATGTGCCATCATTTTGCTGTGATTTTTTAGTTTTGTCGTTAGCTCTTGTGCACATACCTTAACCTCTTAATATTTCTCTTTTTCCTGGCAGTGGCCACTTTCTATCATTGAATCACATAGTGACAAGGTATACAGATATCACTATATTTTCTTTCTTTCGCTCCGAAATGAGTCAAAGGTATTCTTGATAAAATCATTGTTTATTTGACTTAGGTGCTATGTGCTGATTGGTGGAGAAGTGACAGTGTTATCAGCGGCGGAGCAGACTCAAAAGTCTGCATTTCTTCTGAAATTTCAGTACAATGATCCAATGCTTTTGGGTTAGTTATTTAAAATTTTAACGTTATATATAATTATATGTATAAAAAGCGAAAAATATATTTATTTACCTGATGATCGGTAGAATGATGATTATCTTTTATTGTCAGGTACTTGATCATGAAGAAGTCTAAATTTTGATCTATGAATTTAGGGACTGGCAAGATAGGCATACAATTAAAACGATCCTGTGTTTGTATAGTTCATATTTATGTGAGGATTTGAACTTGGGCTGTACAAGGAACAGGAGGACGCAATGATTCTTCCGAGCCACGAGTGTTGTATTGAGCCTTTGGATCAAAGGATGTAAGAATATATTATTTTTTTTAATGAAAACATGATAATTGTGATCTTGCACCATGATGTAATATTTGCTATTTATTATGTCAAGTTTTTCAATCACTTATAATCATATGTTGTATTTTTAAAGTATTAACATTTAATTATAAATCGACATAAAAAAAAGAAAAGATACATGTTTATATATTATTAGAGAATTTGACATAATAATATAAAAAATTCAACCTGAGTTTTTGCTTATTTTGAATTAAAAAAATATAATAACTTGATTTATAAACAGGAAAAAAAAGCATTTCAAAAGAATGACCTTAAGTCCTTAACCTTGTATATAATATTTTTTTTTTAATTATTCAGTTCCTTCATTTTGTTTTAATTAGAGAAGAGGGGAGCAAAATTC